ACGCCCGGCCCCCGCAGGTACGGACCCGGTGAGAGCTGCGGTAAAACTCTTTAGCAAAGAACGGCGACGTTAACGTTGTGGATGGCAGCGCCGCAGAAAGAACCTGTGGTGCCCGCTCCGTTGCGCAGCGGGTGAGGTGCGAGTCCCCGCTGACGGCGCCTCCTTCCTTCCCAGGGAGGAAACGTGCTCTTCCTGGTGACCAACTTCATCGCTACAGCCGAGCAAGCGCAGGGCACCTGCCCCGAGGTGAGTGCGCGGCGCCGTGGGGGGGCTGTGGGGCTGCTCTGTCGCTTGCTCTGTCAGACCTGCACGGACACGTACCCGCGCGGTCCAACCAGAACCGTTTGTGGAAGGACCAGGGACGTGCTCTGCTGGGGCTCACCAGCCCTCTGGGCTTTCTGAGGAGTGGTGACACCGCGTGGCTGCTGCTGCCTTTCGGCAAGGGCCGCTCTGGGGAGGTTGAGCTGTTACCGCATTGCTATTCCATGTCTGCAGTGCAGCTTGCACCAGCACTGCCACCCCCAGCTAACACCTCTGTTACCTGCGTTCCTTCTTGAGCCTGACACATATTCTTGGGTTCTTGATTTGCTGCTCCATTCTCTTATCTCTGTCCTGCCTTTTTTCCTGATGATCTTACACACTTGCCATGGATACCTGTGTCATGTTTCCTTTATAACTCTGCTGCAGGACTGGTATCCGCTCCTTCTCGGTGCTCTATTATTAGGAGGAATGGAGCACAAGGTCTAGGGGGTTTCCCAGTCAGCCGACACTTAATGGTATATGTTCTCTGGGAAAAAAAATCTTCCCTTTAAGGCTGGATTCAGGCCAGCTCTGCACCGAACTCTCCCAAGCTGCACTCTTCTTGGCAGACAGGAGCAGACGACTCTTAAGTTGAGCCACTGCTGGCACCTTGTGCCTGAGCCAAGCACTGTTTGTCCTAATGGACAAGTGTCTGTCTGCCAAGTGGCACTTGCCATGTGTCTTGGTACCTGGACTTGGGAAGGGACTGATACCCTGATGTGCATATATCTGTTGTCTGGGTCCCTCTGGAGGCTGAAGGTTTGACATCTGATTTGCATCAGGAAGACAAAGTGCTTTCATAAGTGCTTATTACAGCACTGCAGGGGGTGTTGCAAACTATGGCTGGGCCATCAGTGGGGGTGAGGGGCATGAGTCTGGTATCCAGCCCTCACCAGCAGTCAGCAGGACTCCCTGGCCCCTCCAGTAGTCCTGTGGGCTTGCCCCTGGCCAGCCTGCAGTGCTGCCGGGTACGTGTGCTTCTGTGACCTGTGGTCCCATTCCAGCTGCTGGCACTCAGACCCCCATACACGCGACAGGATAGAGCCCCTCAACTGGGAAATTAGTTAGAAATGGAGTTGAATCTGCAGACAGGACAGACTGTGCTGGGTGCAGCGCAGGGACAGCCCAGTGTAGTGACCAGCCTGCTCTGTACATGCAACCAGTCCGTTGCATCTTGTATCCCTCTGTTTTCCAATGTCTGTTCCTTCTTAGATAGCCTAGATTCCCGCCTTGCCTTCCTCTTCTAAACGTCCCATCCCCACAATGTCCTATGTAATCCCAAAATGCTCTTCTGCATCCCATGATGATTCCCATACCCTGAGACAGTGACCCACCATCCAGCCCAAAGGTGCTTCAGAGCTCGTTTTAGTGGTTCTCGCACCTGGAACAAGGGGCTGAGGCTGCCCTGGGGCTCCCCCTTTCTTCTAACTCCGTAACTGGGGCTTCCCCACTGCCTTTGGGCCTGGGGAGGTGGGTTTTTTGGGCTGGTGGCTCTTGGGATGGCCTCAGGAGTAGCTGGGGAAGGTGTTACCCCCACACCTGCCTCCATCTCTGTGTTTGAATAGGAGCTTTTTGTGCCTCCAGCACTCAGGTGGGTGCAGAGTGAGGGTGAAGCTTTCCATGTGTGTCTCTTTCCATGTGTCCTGCTGTATGAAGGGTCTCTTCCCAGGGGAACTGTGCTGGTGCTTTACAAGGTGCCTGATGGGCTCTGCCATTAAGGCCTTCCTGAACCCAACTGTGCTTGCTCCCAGTTCCAGCTTGAAGGTTCCAAGCTAGCTCCTGGGGCTTCCTCTGCCTCCAGGGTGGAGGAGGGAGACAGGAGGGAAGGATTGTCCCTTGGAGATGCTTCTCTCCTCACTGCCTGGGGTCTGCCCAGGTTCTGGACGTGGCAGATGTCTTCTGTAAGTGTTGGGACATGCACAGAGGAGCAGGAGCAGCAGCACAGCCATGTGGGTGAGTGACCGTGTGGCCTTGGGCGCTGCGTGGTGACAGTGCTTCTCTCTGTCTCCCTCAGAGCCCGTCTGTTCCTGCCGGGATGTGCACAGAAGATGCAGAATGTCCCACAGGAGAGCCAGTGGTTCATGGCAATGGTACTAGGTATTTTGCTAAATAAAAAACCCAAAAATAAAATCACTGAATTCCTCATGTTTGGTAACAGACAGGCCCACGAAGGTGCCACAAAGATTCCCCAAGTTTAGTGCTTTCTGTGAGCGTGCATGGAAGTGCTCTGCAGCCATCTGTTCTTGGCACAGCCACCCAGCGACCTGCCCTGGCTGCACAAGCAGGCACAAGGTGCTGGCACAGCAAATGCTGAGTGCTTTGTTTCTGACATTGGCTGCTGGAATTGAAACCAGTGTGCTGTGTGATGGGCAGGTTTTCCTTTCGTAACACAACCTGGCTGTGGGGCACAGCAGCAAACAGCACCTTGTCTGTGTACAACAGCAGCCTCGAGGGAAGGTTTCACAGGGAAGGTGTTGGGTGGGTGAAAGGCTGAAGATGATCCCAAGGTCATCTTTGTGGTTCATGTTTTGAGAAGGCCAGAACGAGCCTGTGGCCAGGGCACTGTCCCAGGAGGGAAGCTGTGGAGATGTTTCAAAAAGGAATAATAATTTTATACATCATCTCCTTTCTAGGGATAAAAACTGGGAAATGTGTGATGTTCAACACCACACATTCCACCTGTGAGATCTATGCCTGGTGTCCTGTGGAGAACAACACCCTGTCCAGGTAAGGCACAGGCTGAGGGAACAGCAGGAGTTGAGAGCTTTGGTTCCTTCCCTCTGTGCAGCCAGGAGCCTCATCACACTTGCCCAGGGAGACCTTTGGCATTGATCTACCAGTTGGTTAAGAGCGTTCTTGCAACTGTCCATTGTAGCCACAGTCCTGGGGTTGTGGCAGAGACTGTGGAGCAAGGGGAGCAGGGACATGCCATGGCCCCTGTGCACAGTCTGAGGTCACTGGTGGTTGTTTTCCAGGAAACCTCTTCTGGCTGAGGCGGAGAATGTCACTCTGTTTATAAGAAATACTGTCCACTTCACCAAATTTAACTTCTCCAGGTAAGTGGGACACCCCTGCAGCCCCCTGTGCCCGCAGCCCTGCCGAGGTGTCCCAGGAGCCCTGTGCCATCACACGGGTGGTGGCCTGGGCACGTATGGTTCAGGATGGTGTGTTGGGAGACCACTGCTCGATTCAGTGGCCCCTGTGTTGGCAGATGTAAGTGCAATGTGGTGGGGAGCCCTCAGAGAGTGAGCCTGGTGTCCATCTGCCTGTGCAGAGCATACAAGGCCACTCAGTCCTGAGGGCTCAGCTGTAATAGTTATTTTTCTCCTCAGTAGCTGGTGCAGTGCGGTGTTTTCAACTTTAGTCTCAGAACAATGCTGATAACACTGATGTTTTTTCGTTGATGCTAAGTAATGTTTACTCCAACCAAGGATTTCTCAGTCTCATGCTCTGCCAAGGAGGAGGGGAAGCCAGGAGGAAGCAGAGACAGGACACCTGACCCAAACTGGCCAAAGGGGTATTCCATACCACAGCACGTCATGCCTGGTCTATAAACTGGGGGGACTTACCCGGAAGGGCCAGATCGCTGCTCGGGTCGGGCTGGGTATCGGTCAGCAGGTGCTGAGCAGTTGTATTGGGCATCACTTGTGTTTATTGTTTTCTATTTCCCATTTTAGTTTTATATTCTCTCTCCTTGTTATTTCCCTTACTATTATTTTTGGTGGTAGCAGTAGTGGTTTGTATTATACCTTGGTTACTGGACTGCTCTTATCTCAACCTGTTGGATTTACATTCTTTCTATTCTCCTCCCCATCCTTCTGGGAGCATGGGGGAGAAGTAAGCATTACTTAACACACCGATGTTTTCAGTTGTTGCTATCAGCATTATTCTCAGACTAAAGTCAAAACACAGCACTGCACCAGCTACTAAGGAGAAAAATAACTGTTACAGCTGAGCCCAGGACAGAGGGGAAAGGCCATGGCAAGTGTGAAGGGTGATGACTCCATGTGATATTCCTCTGGGCTGGTTTCCCTCCACCCTCTCTCCAGCTGAGGCTTTAGGAGAGGCAATGACTATCCCCCTGTGGTCCCACTCCAGCAGGAGGATCTCCTTTCAGCCCTGCAGCAGGAGTCCCCGTCCTCCCATTCCACCTGTGACAGCTCCCTCCTCTCTCAGGTGCAATACTTTGCAGACCAGTGACCCCTCCTATTTCAAGAGCTGCACGTATGACCCATCCCTCAACCCCTCCTGCCCCATCTTCCGTGTGCGTGACATGGTGGAGGCAACTGGAGAGACCTTTGGAGACCTCGCACTACTGGTACTTGTTCTCTTTAATATTGAATATGACTCCAAATCCCCAAGGATGTGGGCAAGGGACAGGGGACAGGTCTGACCCATGAATTGTTAAGGGAATGTGTGATCTGTGGCTGTTGGAACAGTGAAGAACTTGTCAAATCTCTGATCCCCACTGCAATCTTTGCCACAATGTGTTCTGCAGGGAGGGTGCATCAGAGTTCGCATTGAGTGGGACTGTGACCTGGATCGCTCTGCATCCCAGTGCCAGCCACAGTACTCCTTCAGCCTGCAGGACAGGAGGTACAATTTCAGGTGAGGGTGCTGGGACAGTGGCCACATGGGCCCATAGGTTGAGCACACGGTGATCATTTGTGATCTCTGTTTTCCTGATGGATGCTCTGAAAGGAGCAGCAGAGACGGTGGGATGCGATAACAGTCCCAGGGTGCTGTGATAGTTCCTGCACCCTGTGGCTGTGCTCTGTTTGGAGTGGTGAAGGCATTTCCTGCTGGAGGGCAGGGATGTTTGGCAGCTCATGCCTCTGCCTACCCTGAACTGGACACACTGGGTGCTGTGTGCTCCCAGCGACCCCAGGCTGGGTGCTGAGTAGGTGCTGATGCCCTGCTGCTCATGCCAAGCTGGTGCATCACCCATGTCCCAGCCCGCTGGAGGATGCAGGGTGTGCACAGGCACATGGCTCCAGCGGCCCAGCCCACTGGACCGCTGCCTGCACGGAGCCGCCCTGCCTTTGAGCCGTGTCCAGTGTCTCCCACAGAACTGCCTCCTACTACTGGGACTCCCAGCGACGGCTCTACCGGAACCTGCTGAAGCTCTATGGGATCCGCTTTGACATCTCCGTGCATGGGCAGGTACTGCTGCCCCCTCCGGGCTGACTCCTGCACCGCTCCTGCCTGCCCTCCCGCAGCCTTCCCATGGCTTCCTGCTGGCATGGCTTCCTACCCTGGTGAGCTCTTCACTTCTTCCCAGAGATTTCCAAGCAGAGCAGGAAATAATGGTCTCTCCCATTTGAAGGGAAACTTCTTAGTAATGCCTTGAGCAGGGAGGCGTCCCTCACTGAACATCAGCCATGGGTACTGGGCAGCACTGGGCCCTGTAGGCAAGGTGAAATTGTCTGGGCAGATCAACCTGGACAATTAATCTCTTCTTAGAATCATAGAATGGTTTGAGTTAGAAAGGACCTTAAGATCATCCAGCTCCAACCCCCTGCCATGGGCAGGAACTCCTTCCACTAGAGCAGGTTGTTCCAAGTCTCATCCAGCCTGGCCTTGGACACTGCCAGGGATGGCCCTATTTCAGTTTGAACCCATCACCCCTTGTCCTATTGTTACAGTCTCTGATGAAGAGTCCCTCTCCAGCATCCCTTCAGAGACTGGAAGCTGCTCGTATTTCTTGATTTAATTGTATCCTTGTGGAGAAAACCCATGGGCATGATGATGGCTGACACTACAGTGTGCATCATCACTGACAAACTCAGTACTCAGCTGTGCAAGATGGGGCCTGTGCTGAGAGGACTTGCCACCTGAGAGATGTCCACAGCTGGTCCATCACGCTTAGCAGTGGCCTTTCCACCTGAAGAGGGTGAAGCAGATGTGCAAGGCCGGGTGCACGGCTGCTGGGTAGTGAGATCAGGTCTGGGA